TGGTGTTAGAAGAAGGTTCAGAATTAGGGAGTCCATTCTTCACTTTAGGTTTTTTTTCTTTAATCTCTCCATTCATTTCCTTTTCTTTCTTTATTTTCTTAGGTTTAGAAGCATCCATTTCTTCTTCTGAAGGTTCTTCATTTTTTACTGCTCTTTTATTTTAGGAGAAGCAACTTGATCTTCAGCAGGTTCCTTTTTCTTTTTCACACCTTTGGTTTTGGGCGAAATAATGCCATCTTGAGACTGCTCTTCTTTCTTTTTCACGTTTTTAGATTTAGGGGAATTAATTTCCACTTCAGAAGGCTCGGCTTTCTTTTTCATCTTTTTAGCTTTGGGGGAAACAGTGTCTTCTTTTCCTTCTTCTGATTCTTCTGTCTTGGTAGATTTTGGCTTCTCTTTTTTAGCTTCTCATTAGCTTTTCGCGATGTCTCCGATTTTCCCATGGTCGCGTCAGCGTCCAAAGCGGTGTCACTAAGAAGTTTTCCAGGCATCATTCAGCACCACCTCTGAAACGTGAGCAGGCCTGTCAACCGCGTGGAAAAAAAGAGACTCATCTAGGCTTTTCTCTGATGAAGTTTATAGGCTATGGTTTAACTCCTAGGTCCCTGATGCACCTTCAGCTGGTTTTTGTGTATGGTGTGAGGTATGGATCTGTCTTGAATTTTCTACTGGTGTTTTCCTAATTTTGCCAACACCATTTATAATATCCTTGTAAAAAATCAGTTGGCTGAGAGATAACCAAGATGGCAGCAGTTGAAGAAGCAGCATAAGGAGCTAGAGGTGCTGCAAGCAGCAAAGAAATGGGCCACCATGACCCTCAAGCCATGGTTTATCTATATCTGAAGAATTAAACAGTTGATTACTGATCTTCAATATCGATTGAGGCTCAACATCAAGAGGACAAAGATTCCTGAAAAAGAATGGTTGAGTCCCACAGCTGCCAGCCCCTTACTGCCAAGCTCACGCTGCTGCAGCCTCATTGGGCCACCATGGCTGGAGGCCCTGGATCCCCTCACTTGGGATGGGTGGCAGATGCCAGGCCCTGCGGCTCGTATGATGGAGTCCCCACATGGCTGAAGAATAAAAGTATTCTAAAAGAAATTATCAGAATCAAGATGGCAACAGCAGGAGACACAGCGTGAGGAGCTAAGGTGCTGCAAGCCACACTGAAACAGGCCACCATGGCCCTCCACAGCCGGCAGTTTATATATACCTAAACAGATAAACAGTTGACTACTGGTCTTCAATATGGATTGTGGCCCAACATCAAGAGGACGAAGATTCTAAAAAAAAATGGGTGAATCCTACTTCTACCTGCTACCTGCCACTGGGGCTGCCATGGCCAGAGCCCATGGGTCGCCTAGCCTGGACCAAGCAGCTAGCCCCGGCCCTGCAGCCAGTGCAACATGGCCAATGGTGGCAGATGCCAGCGACCATGCCCTCTCCCCCCTCCCCCCAGGAAGGGACAGTGGGGGGGGGGAAACACCATTGAACCATAGGAGGTGAAGGACTAGATATGGAGAGAGCATATCCTTGTCAGTAAAGAAGATTTCCTTGGATAGGTCAGAGAAGAAAAGAATATCCAACATGATGGCTTGATATGGTGACTGAAGCAATGGGCTCAAGCACGCCTCGGATTGTGGGGATGGCTAGGACAGGACAAGGACTACATCTGTTGTTCATAGAATTGCTGTGAGCCGTAGAGAGAGCTCTGTGGACCTAGTGGATAAAAAGTTCTGCTACCAAACCAAAGGTAGGTGATTTTAATCTGCCTCCCTCAAGCCTGGTTTTAATTGTTTTCAGTTCAAAACTCTTTTAAGTGGTATAGCACTGCTCTGTGAATTGGCTGTACAGAGGTAACTTGTGGTTGCTGTGATGTTGAACACTGTGACACTGATGTGTCAAACGCAATAATGGTTACCCATGGTGGACAGTGTTTGGTGGAGCTCCCCAGTTAAAACAAGCTTGGAAGCAGGAGTGGCATCCACTTTTGAAGTAGCTTGTATCCAGAAACCCTATGAACTTAGAGAAACTAAAGTTATAAAAGTGTTCAGGTCTTTCATATATAGGGTAGCTATGAGTTGTCTACAACTTGATGACACTTAACAACAACAACAGATCCTGAACAGCAGATCTCCTCAATGTACCACATCTTTGGATTTCTTGACTACTGTTGCTAAAAATTGTTTCAACCTATTGTGACAAAAAAAACCCCAACAACCCAAAACAACCCAAACCAACAATCATCTTAAGACTAGTTGACACTGACTGTTTATAGAGCTCTGGTGGCCTATTGGGTAAGAGATTGTATTGGCAACCCAAAGGCAAGCAGTTCAAATCTACCAGCTGCTCAAAGGGAGAAAGGTACACAATTTCCTCCCTTGGGGTTTATAGCCTTTGAAATTTTGCTTGCAAGTCATCTATGAACAAGTTCTGACTTGATGGCAATGAGTTTTTGTTCGAGAGGCATTTTTATTGTACAGATTATTACATTTTTTTCCCTTGAACACACTCGTATTCCAATCACTCACCGCCATTTTACATAACTTGTGTATCATTAGATTTTAATCCTTTTAGAGAAAGAAACCGTATGTTTTAACTTGTAACCGTATGTTTAACTAACCATATGTTTCATTTCCTTTAAAGCATAGATAGAAAAAGTTTACAGTGTGACTTTATAATTAAATGAACTTCATAAATGGAATGGAAAGGAAATGGATTAAGAAAACATCAGAAACACAAGCAAAACGTAGGGCTTATCACAGGACCCAGCTCAGGGCCTTGAGGACCAATGGGTCTGGTTGAACTACTCCTGTTTTTCCTACTTGAGCCCTCAGTAAAAACACATTTCTTCCTTCAGCCTCCATTTTTTCCTTCTGCTTCTTTGCCCAAAGGTAATCACATCCTACAATTAGAGCCTGGATGACCTCTTTTGATAAATATATATTTGAATATATATGAAAACAATTTAATTAATTCAGCTATTCAATACATATTTATTGCATGCCTGTGGGTTTTGGCCAAGTGCCAAGGAGCTGTGTGACTCTACAAGCAGCTTCACAACAGAAAGATGGACCTTCTCATGCAATTTACAACCTCCAGAATCCACGAGGGAGCTCAGTTATGAGTCAATTCCAACACCACAGCACACAACAAGGGGTTTTACAGAATATAAAAAACTGGAAAGAATATGAGAACATCTGGGTCAACTTGTTCATTTTACAAAAGATTCCACTGGAACCAAGAAAGGTTTATTGACTTGGCCAAGATCATACCATTTGGGAGAAAAGGTCTGGTTCTCCTTATTAAGGAATCAAAATCTGAGCTTACACAAGCAAGTCTAAATATATTAATAATAATATTACATTTATTACCAAGTTACTGTGCAATAAGGTCAGACACTACCCTAGGCATTTTTACATTCTTCATCTCATTAAATTCTCACAGTAATCCTAACACACAGCTATAATTACCCCCAAAAGACACAATAAAAAGATTGAATATTTTGCTCATGTCTATAAAAATACTGAATAGAGAATCCAGCAATCAAACTGTGTGAACATTCTTGCTCCCAATCTCTAAACTCTGTGTTCTCTCATAAGAACTATTAACAAGTATTGAAATTTCTCAAGTCTCAGGCACCTTGTTAATAAGCACATTATATACATTATCTGTAAGATCTATTTTAAAGTACAGGTGGCCTAGTGACAGGAAGCTGTGCAATCCCAAAGGAGCTGTGTAATCACGAAGGCACACAGTTCAAGGCCACCAGCTGCTCTGAAGGAGAAGGATGGACAATCTCCTCTTGTGTGATTAACTGCCTCTGAAACCCCACTGGAGGGTCAGCTATGGGTCGGTTCCAACTCTAGGGTACAACACAACCACAACATTTCTTCCCTACAGTCTAGAATGAGGAGCTCAGGTCACACAATGATGTTCAACTCCATCTCACTAAACTGGTGATTTAACCCCGTCCAGTAGTTCCATGGGAGGAAGAACTGGTGATCTCCCATACAGAGCACAGCCCTACTCCTTCATATGGGGTTGCTATGAATTTGTCAATTCAGAAACACTTACCAGCATTAATAGCAGGCTCGAGACCAGCAAGAGAAAGAAATAGTTTAATAACAGAGAGTTAGTTTAATAGTAAATGATTAATTAGGGAGCTGTGGTGGTAGCCTGCAGCAAGTTGCACTTAGAAGTCTAAAGCTGAATCTCTTAGTGTCTTTAATCCACCAGTGGCTCCCCAAGGGAAAGATGAGCATTCCCCTCCCAAGTGACGGGTAGTCTCCTCCCATTAAAGCCTCAGAAACCTGATGGACAGTCTCTGTGAGCTGACACCTACTTGAAGGCCATGAGTATGTGATTCCTGATTAATTCTAAACATCATGCTTGGGAGGGTGGAGGGACAGTGCAGGAGGGGAAGACCCTCTACGAGATGGATTGATTCAGTTACTGGGATAATCGGGATGGGTGTGTCAGAGGCAATGTAATTGGCACAGGACAGAGCAGGGTTTAGGGCTGTTGTACATAGGGTCGCTAAGTGACTCAATGAGTCACAAGTGACTCAATGGCACATAACAACCAGCCAACAGATTGAAACCTTACCCAAAGCTGTACCATCCTCACAATCTCCCTTGTGCTTAAGCCCACTGCTGTAGTTAAGCTTTTAAGAATCTGGGACATTTTAGAATATTTCCCATTGTGCTCCTGCTTGCACTGGATGTGATCTTCCCATTTTAAACCCTTAAGCAGACTCTGTGACGTAAGTCTGGTCACAGTTAACCTTGAATGCGCACCAAGGAACAAAATCCCCTAGGCTGTCCCTCTGGACTCAATTGCAACCCTTTCTAATTTTTTATTTTACATAATTTTTAGAGAGAGATAATGTTATAAAATATTCTTAAAAGTTTCAGTCTGGCGAGTTCTGGTGGCCTAGTGGCAAGAAACTGCACTGCACGTGCAGAGGTGAACGGTTCAAATCCACCAGATGCTCTGCTGAAGAAGGAGGAACAATTTCCTTCTGTACTGGTCAGATCTGATTTGATGATACACATGCACAAATAAGAAAATAAAATAAAGAAAAAGAATAACTTTAAAAAGAAATTTAAAAAAGTTTCAGTCTGTACAATTAGAATCCATATTGATACCCATTAAAATATGATACATTTATTATAATTTTCTTCATGCTTCATAGAGAGCTACTTCAACATAAGTGACCTTTGTAGGAAAGACTGAAAAGTGATGTTGTTGTTGTTAAGTACCATTGAATTGCGTATGACTCGTAGGGACAAAAGATTGAACCCTGTCTTTCCTGGGCCATCTTCACACTTCCTGACACACAAGAACCCATTGCAGCAGTCTCCATATCAATCCATCAGACTGAGGGTCTTCCTCTCCTTTGCTGACCCTTCACCCTTCCCAGCATCATGTCCCTCTCCAAGGAATAGGCCCTCCTAGCAACATGCCCAAAGTATGTGAGGCGGAGCCTCATCATTCTCCCCTCCAAAGAGCCCTCTGGATGCACCCTCTCCAAGACATAGTTGTTCTGAGTCCTCTGAAAGAGCATAAAAATGGTCTTGTGCAGTTGTTTTGTTTTCTCTTATTCACTCCCTTAATCTACATTTAAATAAAATTAACTCCTTGTCTTAATGCATTTCTTTTCAATCTGTTTGTAGCTGTGGGCCTGACAAACCTGAATAAGTTGTGTTTACTTTATTTGACCCATTTGTCTGACATTGGAGAAGGAATGGATTTACATATTCAAGTCTCTACCTGTGACCTTGAAGAATTTCAATTAGTCTCCTGCTGCCTGTCCGCAAATGCAATAAAAACCCTAGGTAACTGTTGTCTCAGTAGAAACTGCATAATAGAACATGTGGTGCTTTTATCCTAATGTCCACTTCCGAGGAAAAGAATCCCTTAAAGGGAAATTAAATTTAAAGAAAAATTAGAAAGGATAATAAAGTCTTCCAGGTAATATTTAGTCTGCTTTTAAAGTTATTTTTCTCTATAAGCCTTTATTGAAATCATAATGTATTACAACTAGACAATGGCATTTCAAAACAATCAAAGATATTATAACATTAAGAGAGGTTAAAAAAAAAAAAGAGAGAGAGAGAGGTAAAAAAGGAAGAAAGTAAATTAGTGCTTTGAAACCTGGCACACACATCCTGTCATACTAGGGACTCTGGTGGTGTAGTTAGCAGTGTGAACCCACCAGCAGCTCTGCAGGAGAAACGAAGGCAATCTCCTCCTCTGTGATTCACAGACTTCAAAACTACCCTAGAAATCAGTTCCGACTTCAAGACAAGTTTCCGGTTTTGAGTGGCTAAGCCCTCTGGCCAGGTTTAAATTGTTTTCCTGTCAAACATTTTTTCTAGGTGGTATAGCACTGGTCTGTGCATTGCTGTACAGAGGTAACTCGTGGTTGCTGTGATGCTGAAGACTGTGACAGTGATGTGCCAATCGTGGTAATGGGTACCCATGGTGGATAGTGTTGGCTGGAGCTTCCCGACTAAATCAAGCCTGGAAGCAGGAGCGGCATCTACTTCTGAAATGGCTTGCCTCCAGAAACTCTATGTATGAACGGTGCTCAGGCTGCTCGTTCATAGGGTTGCTATGAGTTGTCTAAGACTCGACAACACCTAACAACAAGCAAAACCTTGCTGCTAAGCAACACCTTGGCCATTTGACTCTTTACCAGCCAGTCAGTGGGAGAAAGATGAGGTCGTCTTCTCCTGTAAACATTTATAACCTCAGAAATCCACGGGAGTTTCACCATGAACTGAATTGACTCAACTTTAGGGAGTTTGGTTTATTTTAAAAAAAAAACAAAACACCAACAACCCACAAGCACATGAGTAAATGAATAGTTGAAAGAAGAAAAAGAAAGATTTCTTTAAACATTCTTGATCCTTCCAACTGTTATTCATTGTCTTTTTAAGATTGTTGTTCACCTTTGAGTTGAAACAGCCCCATAGCTGACCCTCCAGTGGGATTTCAGAGGCAGTAATTGCATGGGAGGAGATTGCTCATCCTTCTCCTGTGGAGCCGTTGGTGGATTTGAACCACCTTTGGGTCCTTGGGTTTGCAGTGCAGCTTCTTACCACTAGAACAGAGCTTCATTTCTATATTAAAATAAAGTGAGTTAATGTACATTGTAAGGCGCCATAGAAGGGTAATGGTTACACTGCTTACTTGCTAATTGAAAGATGGTGATTCAAATCCACCAATCTTTCTCTGCTGGAGAAAGATTTCATAGTCCTGCTTCCCTAAAGAGCTCTAATTTCCTTGGGGACAGTTTGGTTCTCTCATATAGGCCATTATAAGTCCGATTTTACTTGATTAATAGTGTACTTAAATGTTCTTTACTATAACAGTTAATGCTTTGGAGATACCAGAGAGCATGCAAGCCAACTGGAGAAAAACATTTAGATATTCCTGTTTCTAAAATGGCATATTTTCAACTCAAACATGTTTGGAATTGGAAAAAAAAAAGATGACTTAATTTTTTAATTAGAGTATAAAACTACTAAGAGTTTGTAGAAATTATCAGAGATACCATTTGAATGTTGATTTAAACAGCTAGAGAAAATCAGTATTAAAAAAGGCTAGACACATCCAGGGACATGAGAATGTTGAGCCCATTCTTTTACTAATTTGTTTGCCATTGAGAAGTGACAGATTTAAAACCAAAAACCATAAATAGATCCTTTTAAAAAGGAGGTCAGCAGTTTGCTTATTAATTTTCAAGCACCAAACCCTGGAAAATATTTCATTCCAAGAACATACAGAATTAATTTAAAATACTAATTGCTAATAATATTATAATTAGAGAGCTCTGGTGGTTTAGTGGTAAAAAGTTGTACTACCAACTAAAAGGCTTGCAGTTCAAAATCACCGATGTTGAGCAATCTCCTTCTATTTGATTTACTGCCTCTAAAAACTCTGGAGAGCCAGCTATGAATCAGTTCTGACTCAATAGTACACATAACAAAAGTGGCAAAAAGCTGCAGCTGCAATCCCAAAAGCACACAGTTCAAGGCCACCATCTGTTTCATAGGAGAAGAATGGGGCAATCTCTTCCCATGCTATTAACTGGCTCTGAAAATCCACCAGAGGGTCATCTATGGGTCGATTCTGACTATATGGTACAACAACAACATACACGAAAAAGTGTGTGTGTGTTTTTAAAGGTTACTAATTATTCTTCATAGGATAAAGCTCTATTCAGATTATGCTACTCTGATAAATGTTATGTACTGTCAAGTTGGAACGTACCCGTTGCTGACCCATCTGTGGGTTTTCAGAGACAGTATATCACATGAGAGGAGATTATCTATGATGACAGTACATAACAACAACAATAGATAAATAAATAATTAAGCTATTCTTATTTAGAGTGATGGTATTTATCATTAATGTTTGCATGCATACATATTTTACCTTGCCACATTTGTGAGTTTGTATTTTAAATAAATATAAAAGCAACAAAATAAATCCTTTTTTAAAAATTTATTATTAATTTCAATGAAAATTTACAGAGTCTTTGGATTTCCATTCATTCATTGTTGCCCTTTTCTCCCCTCCCAACCCTCTTTCCTAGTACACCACCCTCTTGGAAAAGTAAAAGAAAAATTCTTTCATTGTTTTACAACCCCCCCTCAGGTCTACTCCACTATACAGCCTTTGCTTTGGACTCCTGTCATGACAATATTACCTAATCACATATCCCTTCTAAACAGTTTTATCTCTCTTCTGTTTCAATGCAGTATACATTATTGAACCCCTCTTTCTCAGTGTCCCCACATCCCTGAGGTCAGTCCTGTTTTACAACAGTGGCACCATACAGTATTTGTCCTTTCGTGACTGAGATATTTCATTCAGCATAATGTCCCCCAGGGTCACCCATTTTGAATAATATTGCATGAGTTCCTTATTTTTCAATGCAGTGTAGTATTCCATTGTGTGAATATAGCACAGCTTCTCTATCCATTTGTTTTTTGATGGGAAAGAAATAATTTTTAAAAATAAATATACAGACAACATAGACCTAAGTCTTGCTTTCTTAAAAGATCCGCTATGATTATCTCTTCCTTTTAATTCGGAATATTTAGTTCATTTATATTTAATGTAATTATTGACATAATTAGATTTATATTTGCGATTTTGAGTTTTTTCGGTTTTTCTCATGCATTTGTGTTCATTTTCTTGCACAGTAAGATCATTTCAGAGTTGAAAGCAACGTTTTTTGTTGTTCTGTTTTTTGGTGAGTTTTTTTTCCCATTTTATAATGATTTATTTACAAAGTTTGAAGACAATTGTTTTCCACAAAAGATCCTTCCCATTTCCTTCACCCCACCCATCGAATTCTGCAACCCTACGATTAACATCCCACCTACAGCTAAAACACTATTTACTCTACAGATAAATAAAGACATTGAAGCTTTAGGTATGACTGTTCCATAGTAGCAATTATAGCTTATACTTCTCTAAACACTATGTGATCTGTGCTTTGTTAACAAGAACCTAGGATCAGGAAGTATCTGACTATTTCCTAACCATGGAAGTTAGAACCATTAAATCCATTCAGGTGTGTTTAGGAATAATTGAATTATTCATGCTTGGTAGGGTGGAGGGACAGCACAGAAGGGGAAGGCTCCCAATGAGGTGGATTGATTCAGTGACTAGTGTAATTGGGATGGGTGTGTCAGAGACAGTGCAATTGGCACAGGACAGAGCAGACTTTAGGGCTGTTGAACATAGGGTCGCTATGAGTCCCAAGCGACTTGATGGGGCATAACAACAACAATGATGACCTGTATTACCATCGGCAAGAAAATCAAGGGCCCAGAATTCTAAGAATATTTTTTATTGAATATATAATTTCCTGAAAGTTTTTTGTTTTGACTAACTTTTCCTTTCATGTCAGAATCTTCATAATTTGGTCAATCTTAAAATTCTTGATTTATCTGAAAAGTACCTGGGAAAGGACGGAAAGGAAGCTCTACATGAATTGGGTAAGAATGACAATTCAGCCCAAATCAGATACAGGAATATGTGTGCTAAGTAGTCAGGGAGACATAGCCTGAGGGTTGTTTTAACCAATAGATAAGTCTTATATAGGAGTTATTTAGCCCTTTCTTAAAATGTCCTCTAGAAAAATACAGGCCTATTCCCCTAGTTTTTGTTTCAGTGAAAAAATATGTAACAAAGATTTGCTTTTTATAATTTTAAGTGTATAATTTAATAACATTAATTAAATTATCTTTGTTAGTGAGCCTCACCATTCTACTTTCAAAATTTCTCATCACATCAAAGGAACTTTATTCTCACTGTAGCAGTGATTTCCATTTCCTGTTCTCTCAGCCTTTCCTAATCACTAACAAACTTCTGTCTCTGTGTATTTATTTGTATATAAATGACATCATACTGTATTTGTCCTTTTGTGTTTGGCTTACTACACACAAGATAATAATTTCCAGGTTGTCTGTATTGTAGCATTTCTCTTTATGCATGGTTCAGTATATGACAATATCGTATTTTATTTATGCAAAATGAATTGACACAGTGACTACCACAATGGGCTTGAGTGTGACAGGGATCATGAGAATGGTACAGGACAGGGAACGGTTCAGGTCTGTTGTTCACCTGGTCCCCGTGAGTTCGTAGTTGACTCCACAGAACTTACCGACAATATTGATGGACAATTGCGTTATTGCCCCTATTTGACTATCGTGGCTGTTGTTGTTGTTGTTGTTATGTGCCGTCGAGTCGTTTGCAACTCATAGCGACCCTATGTACAACAGCCCTAAACGCTGCTCTATCCTATGCCAATCGCACTGCCTCTGACACACCCATCCCGATTACCCCAGTCACTGAATCAATCCACCTCATAGAGGGTCTTCCCCTCCTGCGCCGGTCCACCCTCCCAAGCATGATGTCCCTCTCCAAAGACCTGTCCCTCCCTGCAACATGCCCAAAGTATGTTAGACGAAGCCCCAGAATCCTGACCTCCAAGGAGTTGCTTGGTTTAATCCTCTCCAGGATGAATCTGTTGTTTTCTAGGCAGTCCAGGGTACATTCAATACTCTTCTCCAGCACCACAGCATCAATTCTCCTTCTGTCCTAGTCATTGTCCAACTCTCTGATGCATAACAAGTGATTGCAAAGACCATGACCTGTATCAGGCGCACCTTTGTCTCCACAGAGACACCGTTGCTCTTGAGTACTTTAAAGAGGTCCCTAACAGCAGACTTTCCCATCACAATACTTTTTTTTATTTCCTGGCTACTGGTGCCAAGAGTGTTGACCGTGGAGCCGAGCAAACTGAAGCTGTGAACAATCTCAATCTCTTCGCCATCCATCCTGATGCTACCAATTGGTCCAGTGGTGAGAATCTTTGTCTTCTTGACATTGAGCCTCAGCCCATACTGAAGGCTACAGTCCTTACCCTCTGCAGCAAGTGCATGAGGTCCTCCTCAGTTTCGGCAAGCAGGGTTTTGTCATCTGCATAATGCAGATTGTTAGTAGATCTTCCACCAATCCTGATGCCACAGTTCTCCTCATAAAGCCCAGCCTCCCGGATAATCTGCTCTGCATATAGATTGAAAAGGTATGGAGACAGGACACATCCCTGGCGTACACCCTTCCCAAGTTTGAACCATGCACTGTTACCCTGCTCTGTTCTGACGACTGCCTCTTGGTCCAAGTATAGGTTTCTCATTAGCACGATTAAATGTTCTGGGATTCCCATTCTTCTCAGAGTCAGCCACCGTTTGTTATAATCCACACAGTCAAACACCTTTGCATAATCAATGAAACACAAATAGACATTCTTCTGGTATTCTCTGCTTTCAGCCAAGATCCATCTAACATCAGCTACAATATCCCTAGTACCACGACCCCTTCTAAACCCAGCCTGGACTTCTGGCAATTCTCTGCTGATGTGCTGTTCCAGTCGTTTTTGGATAATCTTCAGTAGAATCTTGCTTGCATGTGAAATCAATGACACTGTTCTGTAGTTTCCACACTCAGTTGGGTCGCCCTTCTTTGGGATGGGAACAAATATAGACCTCTTCCAGTCAGTTGGCCAAGTGGTTGTTCTCCAGATTTCTTGACACAACTTGGTGAGCACGTCCAGGGCAGCATCTGTTAGCTGAAATATGTCAATTGGTATACCATCTATTCCTGGGGCCTTATTTTTTTGCTATTTCCTTCAAAGCAGCTTGAACTTGGAGGAGCTCTGGTGGCCTAGTGGCAAGAAGCTGCACTGCAATCCCAGAGGAACACAGTTCGAATCCACCAGACGCTCTGCTGGAGAAGGAGGCGCAATATCCTCCTGTACCAGTCAGATCTGATTTGACGGTACACGCACACAAAATAAATAAAATTTAAAAAAAAAGCAGCTTGAACTTCTTCCTTCATCACCATAGGCTCTTTTGCTCGTATGTTATTTCATTAAATTCTACGGTATCTGCCAATTCTTTTCGATACAATGACTTAGTATATTCCTTCCATCTTCTTTTAATACTTCCTGGATCATTTAATATTCTGCCTAAAGCATCCTTGATCACAGCAACTCTAGGGTAACATTGTAATAAAAACAGTTGTTGTACTTTCAGGTTTCTTGGGTCTATTACCTGGAAGCTGAATTGCTGGATCATATGGCACTATTATGTTTCATTTTATGAGAAACCGTCAAACTATTTCTATGGTGGATAAATCATTTCACATTCCCTCTAGCAATGCACAAGAGTTCCAGTTTTTCAATATCTTTGCCATTTTTGTTTTCTGGTAATAATCACTCTACGTAGGGTATGCTCTGATAACATAGTTTTTAGGTAGTTATGCTACTAACCTAGAGGTTGCATGCCTTTCTCTGGTGGTTCAAATACTCCAGCGGCTGCGCAGAAGAATGGTGGATGATCTTCTGCATGAATTCCTGAAATTTCTGAAAACTCACTGCAAGGTCAACTATGAGTCAGTTCCAACTCCACAGTAATGAGTATAAAGTTACTTGGCGTGAAGTAGTATTTCTTTGTGATTTTAAGTTGCATAACCCTTGTTACTAATGATATCGAGCATCTTTTCATGTGTTACTTGGTCATTTGTATATTATCTTGTTGTTGTTATGTACCATTGAGTTGGAACAGACCTATAGCTGACCCCCCTGTAGGTTTTCAGAGGCAGTTAATCGCATGGAAGGAGATTGCCCATCTTTCTTCCATGGAGCAGCTTGCAGCCTCAAACAGCATGCCTTCCCTTTCTCTATTTTTGTGCTGAGTTATTTATACATTCTGAATAATCTTTACCAAATAGGTAGTCACAATAACGAAAAGATAGAAGCAGTCCAGCTGCCCATCAACAAATGTGTATAAAATCTGTGGTTCACATAATTGACTATTATACAGCACTGAAAAACAATGAACTCATAAAACATTACAGAGCATGAGTAAGCCTGGAAGACATTATGCTAAGTGAAATATCTCAGTCACAAATGAAAATGAATAATACTGCATAACACCACTGTTACAAAATGGGACTGACATGAGGGTTGAAGGGAGCATTGGAAGAGATGAGGGGAAGGACTGTCTGAAAGGAATGTATGATTAGGCATTATATATATGACAACAATCTGGAACAAAAGGTGCATAACAACGTGGTCTGGGGGAGGGTGAAAGAGGGAGAGGGAGGAAAATATGCAACAATGAATGAATGAAAACCCAAAGTTTCTCTAAACTTTAGTTTAAATCATAATTTTTTCAAAAGGAATCAAAAGATATATTGTATTGGGAAAATCTGCTCTTAAAGACCTCTTCAAGGTGTTAAGGAACAATGATGTTAGTCTCAAGAGTAAAGTACACCTTATTTAATCCACGGTCTTTACAATTGAATAAGGATGATGGAAAAATAATTGATGCTTCTTAGTTGTGGTGTTGGAGAAAAGTACTGAATATCCCATAGAATGCCAAAAGAACAAACTAATGTGACGGGGAGAAAGTGCAACCAGGGTGCTCCTAAGGGGCAAGAATGGATAATCTTTGACTCACATACCATGGTTATGTCATTAGGAGGATCCAGTCCTTACAAAGGGACATCATACTTGGAAGGGTGTAGGGTCAGTGAAAGAGAAGACTCTCAATGAGAGGACTGCTACAGGACTATAAACATGGCCTGCAGTGACTGTGAATATATCATAGGTGATGAGGATGGCACAGGATGCGGCAAAGTTCAGATCCATTGTTCATAGTCACTATGAGATGTAGTCAACTCAAAAGAACCTAACAACAACAACTATTGTACATGTTAAAAATCTACCTGATTGCTTCCTTCAAGAGGATTAATGTCTAAGAGAAACTATTGTTCAAGAGAAATTTGCATAAGGAATTTGTGATAAGATTTTTAAAGGTTTGATAGCCATACTAGAATTATCATTTTGTTAAAAAGACAAACACTGGGGAGCTCTGGTGGCCTAGTGGCAAGGACCTGCAACTACAATCCCAGAGGCACATGGTTCGAATCCACCAGTTGCTCTGCCAGGGAAGGAGGGACAATCTCCTCCTGTACCAGTCAGATCTGATTTGATGGTACACTCACACAAAAATAATAATAATAATAATAATAATAATAATAATAATAATAATAATAATAATGACAAACACTGAGATTCACCTCATAATCATAGAGAAAAGGAAGAATTAGGAACCAAAATACGACCTTCAGTCTATCCCTCCTAAATGTAAAAAAATCATCTCAAGAATAGGTTTGAGGTATTGAACGCTAATGAGTGAAGACAAGATGAGCTGTGGGATGACACCAAAGATATGAAGATAATAAAAGACAGAAGAGAAAGACCAAAATGTATGTCGGGAGAGACTTTGAAAATAGTACTAGTGCACTGAGAGGTGAAAACAAAAAGAAGTGATGTTGAAGTAAAAGTATTATAATGGAATGTGCAAAGACCGGGAGCTGGAAACAAAAAAGGAAGAATTTGTTACATTTCTCAACGTGAAAGAACTAAAAAAGCCTTAAGTTAACAATACTGACAGATGCAATAGGAAAAATCATGAATGATCCAGAAAGCATCAAAAGAAGATGAAGGGAATACAGAGTCACTATACAAAAAAAGAATTGGTTGACACAGAAAAGTTTCTATAAGTAGAATATGATAAAGAGCCCATGGTGATGAGGGAAGAAGTTCAAGCTGCATTGAAGGCACTGGCCAAAAATAAGTCCCAGAAATCAATGGGATACAAATTGACATGTTCTAACTGAAGATGCAGCCCTGGACATGTTCAACAGCCTGTGTCAGGAAATTAGAAGACAACTGACTGGAAGAGATCCTTATTTATTCTCATTCCCAAGAAAGGTGATTTGACAGATTGTGGCAATTATTGAACAATATCATTACAATCACATGCAAGCAAAATATTGCTGAAGATCATTCAAAAACTACTAGAACAGTACATTGACACAGAATTGTCAGAAGTTCAGGCTGGGTTTAAAAGAGACTGTAGCACCAGTATCATTGTGGATATCAGATGGATTTTTATTGAAGTCAGAAGGTACCAGAAGAATGTCTATTTGTAAGGTGGAAATTAGGTGTTGAATTAAGATGGTAGTAATGGAGAGAAAGTGACAGATTTGAGAAATGTCCTGAGATATGGAAAATGAGAAGGTGACAGCAAGAAGTAGAAGCTCAGAAATAGAAGACAACCAACCTTTGGAGACAGACAAAGAGAAGTCCTCCAGTGTCATTGTAGCAGACTCTGAGACAGGAAGGATGGAAGGGAAGAAAAAAAAAAAAACAACATGTCTATTTGTGTTTTATTGACTATGCAAGGGCAGTTGAATACATGGATCATAACAAACTATGGTTAACATTGAGAGGAATAGGAACTTCAGAACATTTCATTATGTCAAAACGAAACCTATACCTAGACCAACAAGCTGTTGTCCAAGCAGAGCAAGGGACTACTGCATGGTTTAAAACTGAGAAAGGTGTGTTTTAGGGCTATACCCTTACTCCATACCTGTTCAATCTGTATACTGAGCAAATCATTAAAGAAGCCGAATTTTCAGAAGAAGAGTATGTTTGCAGCAAGATTAAATAAAAATATGTTTTAAACAATAAAAAAGAGGAGTGTGGCAACAGGATTGGAGGAATATTCATCAACAACCTGAGTTATGCAAATGACACAACCTTGTTTGCTGAAAATGAAGACTTGGGGTACTTCCTGCAGAAGATCAAGGAGTACAGTCTTCAATGAATTATACCTCCCTATCAAAAAAACAAAAATCCTCAACCACTGGGCCAATAGGCAGTATCATAACAGATGGATAAAAGATTGAAATTGTCAATGATTTCATCTAGCTTGGGTTCACAATCAATACCCTTGGTATCAGCAGTCAGGTGATCTGGAGATGTATAACATTGGGAAAGTCTGCTGTCAGGGACTTCTCCAAAATTCTGAAGAACAATGATGCCAGTTTGAAGACTAAGGTGCACCTGATTCAGGTTATGGTCCTGAACAAACATATATGTCTTGGAAAAAAATGCAAACAAAGTGCTTCTTGCAGGAAAGGGCAGCAAAGCTTTGTTGCACATATTTTGGGCATGTAATTAGGATAGGCTATTCCTTGAGAAGGACATCATGCTTGGAAAGGTGGAGAGTCAGCAAAGAGAAACACCATCAACTAGATGAACTGACAAGTCACTGCAGCAATGGGCTCATATGCGCTGGGGATGATAAGGATGGGGCAGAACAGGCTAGAATTCAGATCCATTGTTCAAAGGGTCTCTATGAGTCCTACTCGATGGCACTTAACAACAACAACAACAACATATCAAGAGTAAGGAGCTCTGGCGGCATGGCACATCACATGTTGCACTACAAACTCAAAGATCAGTCGTTAGAATTTGCCGTATGTGAGGTAGAGATATGGACAGTCTTTTCCCATAAAGATTAGTTTCATAAACCTGATAGAGGGTTACTATAAGCTGGAATCTACTCAATAGATGGCAGTGAGGGGGGATATCAAGAGTGCCTGTTATTTAATTTGTTGACTTTGGCTTAGTATTACAGACAGTTTCATTATAATAATTAATTATGTGAAGTTTGTATATATTTACAGTTTTCCATTAAAAGTGCTAACCAATATAAGAAGTATGTGTAAGATGAGGTTTCCTCCACTATCTTTTCAAAGCTAGATGCAAAAATCATTCCTCCCCTTACAGCCCTTCATTCTTAACAATTTTAAGATGGCTTCAACTCCTGAACTGTCTCTGTTTCTTCAAGTTGGCAGGCTAAACCTCCCGAACAGCTAGCTGTACTGATGCTGCCCTGGTGGTGTGATGTGAGAATGGCCAGCCTGTTAGAGCGACTGAAAGGGGCCCCACAGCTAGTCAAACTTGGGTTGAAAACCTGGAGCCTCACAGATGGGGAGATTAGAATCTTAGGTAGATACAAAATCCTTAAGATTATTTTCTTTATTGTCATTTTTGTCCCTTGCTCATACCATAAGAGGGAGTGCTGATCAGTCTACTGGTAGCAAGTAGCACTGTCAACTCGAAGGCTTATAGTTCAAACCCACCAGCTGCTCTGTGGAAGAAAGATGGGCAATTTCCTCCTGTTGATTTAAAACCTCTGAAAACTCACAGGAGAATCAGCTAAGAGTTGATTCCGACTTGACAGTACACAACAACAATATATCATGAGTAGGTCTTGGTGGTGTGGTGGCTAAATTGCCCAGTTAGAACCTATGCGTGGCTCTGAGGGAGATAGGATGAGGCAGTCTGCTTCCTTAAAGACTTGAAAACACTATGAGACATCCTTAGTATTATCGGGTCAAGATGCAATCAACTTGTCAGCACTGACTTTTTTTTTCAATGGCACTTCAAGGAATCCAGGTGGATCAATGGTGAAACATACAGTGGTTAGAAGCCATCAGCAGCTCACAGAAACACCTGATGATCTACCTTTATACAGATAACCAAATCCACTGTCCTCGAGTTGAGTCTCTGATTCAAGGCAACCTTCCGCTGGTTTTCTGAGGCTGTAAGTTTTTAAGAAAGAAGACTGCCCCATATTTCTCTTGCAGAGCCACTGATGGATCCAAATCATCCACCTTTTAGTTATCAGTCCAACATGTAATATACTGAATAAACCCCTGGGGCTACTTTTTTCTGTAAAGATTACAGCCTACAAAACCCAACAAGAGCAGATTTACTCTGTCATATCGGTTCTCTGTAAACCTAAATCAAGTCAATGGCACCTAACAACAAGCTCTATCCTTTCTTAACTCCACTTCCATATACTTGACACTTCAACACAAGAAACTTTATCATCCTGAGGTCCTTTTATTTTTTTTTCTCTTTCTCATGTTGAGTCAGAAGCCAGTGGCTTCTGTGACAGACTAATTAGCTTAGTTCTCTGATAATCTCTCTTAGGTATCCTCATACTTTAAAGTCAGTGGAGAGAACATGACTTTTCAAGGAGATGCTAAGGGAGAACCCAGAATTAGAATTTCAGAAGGTGTAGTATTAAAAAAAAGAAGAAGAAAAAAAGAAGGTGCAGTATTTTTAAGTAGAGGTCTTTCCAATCCTTAAGTAGGTGGTGACCTACTTTGCCCACTTTTGAGACTGGCCATAGAGAATAGAAAGAGATCATGGTTAATTCAGGGTTTCAAACGGGTTCATTTGACTCAGTCTCCTGCTGAGAATTTGCCTTCCCTCTCACAGCCCTGTGCCCTGAAACAAAATCTACAGTTTAACAAGACCCCCAGTACACTTGGGGATCTTGTTTAAATGCACGTTCTTTTTCCCCCCATAGATCTGTGATGGTGCAAAGCAAATTATCGGCAAGGGAGTGAGCTGGAATGAATAGGTTCAAACCCTGGATTAATGAAATAAGGACAGAGCTAGACAGTAATTCACTTTTGGATTTTCATTTCCTAGTGCCTCTGGCCTCTATGTATAAATAAGCAAAATAAACATAACAGAAGGCAGCCAGCTTCTGGAAACTTATCAGTAATGGTGTATGCAAATCCTAACACGCAAATAAAAAAATAGATGAAAATGAATAGCAATTACTAATTCATTCTCAAAATGGTCCTTGTTTACAAAATATGCATGGAATTATCACCCCATTTCTATAAAAGACAACCTTTATTCTCTTTTATAAAGAAACACAAGATGGTTGTCAGACTAAAAAAGAAAGAAGAGTTGAAGACAGGAGAGAAGTTGATGAAAAAGGAGAAAACGCAGGTGCTATCTGTTCCTGTTCCCCTTCAGCCGTTTATTTTACACTAAAAAACAGTCTGGTTGGGCTTCAGTCAAAAATTGATGGGTGAGAAACAAAGTGCTCTCTGTCTTTATTTTCTAGTCAAGAGGTGAGATAGCTGTCCAGCTCCGCTAGAAGTTCTATGTTGATAAAGAGGGAGGGTGTATTGGCTTTGGAACCAGACAAATTTACTAGCCTTTTCAATTGACAGATGTTTGACCTATAGCAACTTGAACTCTCTGACCGTGGTTCAGTCACCTTACAAAAGATCATTTTAATAATTCTCAGATAGCAGGGAGCTCTGGTGATATGGTCTGTATAATGAAAGATTAACTGCTACCACTCCCTCCTTTCCAAGGGAAGCTACTAGCCTAACTTCTTACATTATGGTATTCGTTTCCCAGGATTAAAAAGTTCCCCAAACCAGGTGGCTTCTATAACAACAGAAATTTATTATCTCACTGTTATGAAGGCTAGATGTTCAAATCAGAAGTCTCTAGGAGAAGCTCTGTTCTTGTCTTTCAGCTTCTGGTAGCTTGACGAGTTCCTTGACTTGTGGGTGCATCTTCCCATGGCAATCCTCTCTCTCTTCTCTTTTGTAAAACTACTGATTGGACTGGACTAGAACCCATCCTACTGCAGTATGACATCATGTTCATTTAACTGATAACATTTTCAAAGAACTTATTTTCAAAGAAGATCATATTCACAAGTACCAGGGGTTGTCACCTTTATATTTGAGGGTGGGGCGAGGGAAACATTTTAATCTACAATAATCATAGATTAATCCTGTGTTTTAACTATATTGTATAAAAGATCGCACAGTATATACTCTTTTGTATCTGCTTCTTTCTCCTTACAGAATACCTATGAAATTTTGCCATATCACTGGGCATGGATATAGTTCACTCTCAAAATATTCTGTTTTATTAATATGTTGATGTTGTTGTATGCTGTGTAGATTCCAGCTCCTGGTGATCTCATGTGACAAGACTAGAAACTACCCCCGACAGTTTTCTAGACTAATTCTCATGCAAGCATTATTACCAGGTCTTTCTCTCCCAAAGGGAGTTCTGGTGACCTAGTGCATAATGAATTGTACTGCTAACTCAAAGGCATGCAGTTCAAATCCACCAGCGGCTCCTCAGGGGAAAGATGGGCAATCTCCTCTAATGTGATTTACAGCTGCTGGAGAGTCAGCTATGAGTTTCAGTTAAACAGTAATGAGTGAATGAGAGAGCGAGTGAATGAGTTTTCCCTGAGAACCAATGAACACTTTCAAACTGCCAGTCTTCTGGTGAGCAGCCAAGCACTTAATTGCACTATAAGGGTTCTTTGTTATATGCGTACGCTGTAAATTATTTATCCATTCTACTAGGACATCTGAGTAGTCTCTGGTTTTTCAATGCTATGCATTCTTGTACTTGTCTTTTGGTGAACATGTCCATCTAAGCATATGTCAGCTTCAGTAGATAAGCCAAATAGCTTTTCAGCATCCTTCTAGTCAATTCAGGTTTTTAAAAATAATGACATTCTTTACTACATACAGACAGCATTTGATTTTCATTTTCTAATACCACTTGAATTTAAAGAATGTGTTCATATTTCTTTCTGCCCTACTCTGAGCTCTTTAAGGACAAAGTTTAAGTCATGGGTCATAGAATTCAATGGACATTCCACACTGGATATTTAATACTCAGGGAATTTGCTGGAGAATTTACAATAAATCCACAAGGTACCTTGAGGTAGAAGCCAGATGCTTACTTCTGAAGAGACTCTAGCTTTGTGATTAGTAAATATTGTTTTCTTTTACCTGAAAATGTAAAACATGCTTGTTTGGTTTTGTAATCTCTTTAAATATCCAAACCAACCAACTGTTAAAACTTGAAAGCTGGCTGCTTAAGTTTCCTGGCTCTGGCCCAGAATATCTCCTTAGGCTCGGACCTGGATCAGAAACTTCCTTCTCCGCTTAGTGATGGTATGTGTGATGGACAAGATGCAATGTGCCTTGAGGAGGGATAATAAAAAGCAGACTGGTTATACAAGATGGGAAGTCTAACGAAATAAAGGCTGGGTAAGAGGTCAGGAGCAATAGTCAGGGGACAAGCTATATATAATCAGGTACAGACTGCCTGAGCGTGCACTGGAGACATGAGGAGAATTTAGCAAAAGACATCTTTCCCCCAAAAGTCTTAGATATCTTCTACCTTTAAGTGAAACCTGGCTTACCCCTGGAGCTCTCTTAAGTCATTACTTTTCATTCTCTTTTCTCCCCTATGCCTCTGGAGCCAAAGGGAAGGTTGGATTCTTATTCATTTTTATATCTAATTGAAAACTCCTACTTTCTGACATCCAAGCAGATATATGCACAACCGTGTTTATTGCAGCCTTGTTCACAATAGCAAGGGGTTGGAAACAACCTAAGTGTCCACCAACAAATGAATGAATAGAGAAGCTGTGGTATATTCACACAATGGAATACTATGCTGCATTGAAAAACAAGAAACTAAAATAAAATTTAAAATTTAAAAAAATTTAAATAAAAAACAAGAAACTCATGCAATATTATTCAAAATGGGTGACCCTGGAGGACATTATGCTGGGTGAAGTATCTCAGTCACAAAAGGACAAATATTGCATGGTGTCACTGTTGTAAAACAGGGCTGATATCGGGGTTGGGGAGAGACTGAGAAAGATAGGTTCAATAATGTATACTGCATTGAAACAGATGAGGGAGAAAACTGTTTGAAAGGGATATGTGATTAGGTATTTTTGTCATGACAGGAGTCCAGAGCGAAGGCTGCATAGTGGAGTGGACGGGGGAAGGTTTGTAAAACAATGAAAGAATTTTTCTTTTACTTTTCCAAGAGGGTAGTGTACTGGGGGGGAGGGTTGGGAGGGGAGAAATGTGCAACAATGAATGAATGGAAATCCAAAGTTTCTGTAAATTTTCACTGAAATGAATAATAAAAAAAACCCCAAACCACTCCTACTTCCATGTCACTGTTGTTGTTAGATCCATCGGGCTGAGTACAACTCATAGCAACCCTATGAACAAAAGATCTGAACTCTGTTCTATCCTGTGCCATCCTCATACTTCCTGACACACAAGAGCCCACTTCAGCAGTCACTGTGCAAATCCACCTGGTTGAGTATCTTTCTCTTCTTCGCTGACCCTCCACCCTTCCCAGCATCATGTCCCCTTCCAACGAATAGCATCACCTAGCAACATGCCCTAAGTATGTGAGACAGTCTCATCATTCCTGCCTCCAAAGAGCACTCAGGATGCACCTTCTCCAAGACATATTTGTTCATTCTCTTGGCCGTCCGTTGGATGTTCAGTGCTCTTCTCCAACACCACAGCTCAATGGTGTCAATTCTTTTTCTATTCTCCTTATTCACTGTCCAGCTCTCAGATGCATAACAAGCATTTGGAAAGACCATGACCTGAACCAGACTCACCTTAGTCATCAAATTGACATCAATACCCCTCGGTAATTTGGAGAGGTCCCTAACTGCAGATTTTCCCAGTGCAATGTATCTCTTTATTTCCTGACTGCTGGTACTAAGTGTGTTAATTGTAGAAACTAATCAATAATATCATTAATATCACATGCAAGCAAAATACAGCTGAAGATCATTCAAACATGGCTAGAAGTTTAAGCAGGATTTAGAAAAGGCCGTGGAGCCAGGGATGCCACTGCTGATGTCAGATGGATCCTGGCTGAAATGAAGGAATACCAGAAGAATGCGTACTTGTGCTTTATTGACTATGCAAAGGCATTCGACTGTGTGGCAGACCTTGAGAAGAATGGAAATCCCAGAGCACTTAATTGTGCTCACGGGGAACTTATACCTGAACCAGGGGGCAGTTGTGCAAGTGGAGCAGGGAAACACTACATAGTTTAAAATTGAGAAGAGAGTACATCAGGGTTGTACTCTGTCTCCATACCTGTCCAATCTATATGCTGAGGTAATTATTCAAGAAGCCGGACTTTATAAAGAGGAGTGTGGCATCAGGATTGGAGGGAGACTCATCAATAACCTGCATTATGCAGATGACACAACCTTAGTTGTTGAAAGTGAGGAGGACTTGAAGCACTTGTTGCAGAAGATAAAGGAATGCAGCCTTCAGTATGGATTGCATCTCAATAACAAGAAAACAAAAATTCTTACCACTGGACCAATAGGCAGTGTCACGTTGGATGGAGAGGGGATTAAAACTGTCAACTTCCATGAGATAAATTAATTTGATCATTTGCTATCAAATACAAACTTTCTGTTATCTCTTCTTGTTCACTAAAATAGGTGACAACCTGCTCTCAGAATTCCTTTAACACCTGTCCCCCAGAGGGCTCTACTGGCCTCTACACTGTAAAGTATACTCTGTGCTATAAAGTATTTGGACCTGCTACACCTTCCTCTTCAATGGCCTTCCCTCCCACTCTTCTCCGCCTATCTACTCCAAGAGCACACCTCCACTTTGTAACTGAACTAAAACTCTTCAGTCTCTGAGAGAATAATTTCAGAGACTCCACTGTGACACTATTACCTTCAATATTTCGACCTCACTTACCGAGGGATTCCTAAGCACCAGATCTTTTACTTCACTGGGAATTGCAGTCGACTGGCCCAGTATCAACACCTATTTCTCAGCCTCTATCTTGACTTCCTTTCTCGTTCAATTTAGATTCTGTCATTCAGCCTTGCACACACTCTCTTCTTAATAACTAACACTCTCATGACCCACAGTATCTCAAAAGTCAACTTAGGCAATGGCATTTAGTGAGAGATACATGTAATAGTTTCAATGGTAAAATGAAGAAAGTGTCATGAAAAAGGAAGTCTATAATTAAAGAAAGACTGTCTAATGAGATGCAGGGAGAAAATGAGACATGGGATATGAGGTATGAAATGAGATATAACAGCTATGGTGCACCATCCTAATGAAACTCCCAGCTTAGACTGCCCTTACGTTTTGGCTTTTTGGGTAGCTATTCACAGGCTGTTAGGGAAAACAGTTTGGCAGGTAGTTATGATATGATAGTAAGAAATTTTAACAAAAATGCT